TTGTTTTGGGGTTTTGTTGTTCTCCCGCCCTGGCGGGGGGTCGGGCTAGAAGATCTACCAGGTCCCTTCCTACCCTAAATCTATGAAACTATGGATCAATTTGCAGGATTATGGTATTAGATCATAACCTCTTTGGAACACATGCTTTCTTTTGTAGTCTGATCACAGGCAGCACCAAAATCAGTCTACTGGCCATGCTAATTTACTGGCTTGAAGACTTTGATGGATCCCTTCAACCAACTGTTACTTCCAGCCCATAGCATAGGGTAATTTTTCTGACACTGCAGAGATACAGCTGGTAGGAAACAAATCTGTAGTACAATTAACTAATAGAACCCCTCAGGGTGCATTGGACCATATGTTTTTGTTTCCTTGGAAAAAAGCCGATGCCTCTAGAGGACAGGCAAAGCAATGAAGATGCCATATCTGTAGGATTCACAACTAGATATGAATCCATCAGTGTTTGCTCTAGGCCTGAAATTTCCTATTAACATTGACTTTTTACACATCATGAGAAATGCAGACCTACCATATCTTCAAAGATTTAGCTTAATTCCACTGAGTAGCACAAATGCTCACAGAACTGTATTTCTTACCAGGTGGAGTAAGAAATTCTGTTTGGGGAACTCTGTATGCTGAGTTCTTTAATCACCCTGTACTTACGAATAATTTATAAGTATGCCTTACAGTGTTTAATCTTTGTCTACCAGTTTGTTGTCTCATTTTCTGTCTGGCATACGTCCCGTCACAGCTCTTATCTAAAAGTTTATCTTGTGATGATAGGAAAGCTTTCATTTTACTTGTAATATGTTTAATTACAATATTGTCCTGTGAAAGAGGATTTATCATCAGCCAAATGGTTTTACAAGTGCAGAAACTTACTGTTGCTTGTACTATCAATTATTTTCTCCTGTATTGCTTGCAGTTAAGCAATTATGATTCAGTGAAGTTTGAAAAAAACTGGTTTAGTTTCACCCTTCAGAATGCTGAGCAGCAAAAATATATCAGAAGCAACTGAAGACAGTGATGAAAACACATTGTACAACCTAAAATTAACTAACTCAATAAACAATAGGTGGACAGCTGCATATTGCTGATATGCTTAAAAAATTTTTTTGATCATATACCATATCCCTCTCCTCACCTTATAAGTTAAGTGTTTCTTTGGAGCTGATCCTGCAACTGGTTTCTAATTCACAGACATCCACATAAAGCCTTAATGAGTTTAGGAGCCTACTTTTAAATTTAAGCCATGTCAAAGACTTGAAGGCCAGAAAGAAACATTACATTTTCTAATCTGTTCTACTTCATAGCAGGAGCAGGCATAAGACTATAAGACTGCCAGGACAAAAACTGTCCCCTCCATATGGCAACTACTGAACGCAGGTAACCATAAATTATATATGTAATATATAATAAGGGATGGCCTTAGCATCTTTTCTCACCTTGTTTTAGAAGATGCTGCTACCGAAGTACTTGCGCCTTTGTTTAAATTAAATGCAACTAAAAAATAAGAGAGACGTTACTCATTTCTACCCTTTAAACACCTGTGCATTTAAAGATGTGACAATATAAATAATTCCAAATGAATAGAGCTACAGATTTAGACAGATTCACAATTTAAATGCTTTGGCTCATCTATTTCAAATAAATTACTTTTCTTAGTAAAAGAACACATTGCATTTCTATAGCACTTCTCAATAAAGTCAGAGTAATTTACAAAACACCAAGTAATTCTCAAACTTCACTCTTCTAATATATCCACTGGACCCCACAAATGCCCTGTAAGCTACAAACATTTATATGTTTAAAAATCTAGTTACCTTTTTCTTCATCATTGTCTCTGTTTAGTTCAGTATAGACAGGCCTTTCCTGCCAACATAGAACAATTGCAGGGGTCAGATAAACCACTGGCACTGCACATCATAGCTGGCAATCATTAATTAGCTTGATTTTACAGTTTACTGTAATGGGCATGCAATACCAGGCTGACCTGGTCCATAAAGACAATTATGGATGGAAGACATTACCTTGTTAATGCTTTTTGCAGCATTCTCTCATTGTCTATATATGGATATAATTTGAAACAGACCAGCTCCAACCTTAGTTTAAAATTGTTTAAAACTGCACAGATTTCATAGACATTAGGGCTGGAAGGGACCTTGGACAATCAAGTCCAGCCTCCTGCCCCAGGGGCAGGAATTCAGCAGGGATCATAGGATCCCAGCAAGATAAATATCCAAATTTCTCTTGAAGGCGTTCAAACTAGGTGCTTGAACCACCTCTGGTGGCAGGCTATTCCAGACCTTTGGAGCTTGGACAGATCACCCCTTAGCCTGTGCTTTTCCAGGCTGAAGAGTCCCATAGCTCTCAGCCTCTCATCATAAGGTCTGTTTTCCTGACCTCTAAGCATGCACGTGGCTCTTCTCTGGACTTACTTATGAGGAAGTGGAATTGAAAGCTAAAAGTTTGAATCCCAGACATCAATGGGTTAATGAGTCCTGGAGCAATGCCAACAACCACACAAGGTAAAATGCATGCCTGAGGAATTCTCTGCTGGGTTGTTCCAAGGTACCTACAGGCAAGAGCAGAGGGTTGTGAAAGGGAACTCCCACAGGGGCTCCCTGCTCTGCACATGCAGAACCTGCCACCATGGAATTTCCAGGATCCCTGAAGCTATGGGAGCACCTGCCTGGGCAGTTGGAGAGCTCTGGGCTATGCACCCTCTGCCACCATAAAGCAAACTGGTTTCCAATGCAAAAAAGTGACACAAACATTTACCATCTCTTGTCATGGCCACAATTTGGGGTATTTATAGCATGAAAAGGAGCAAGAACATCTATTTGCTTAGACTTCGTGCTATCATAAATTTTTTTATGATGGCACAAAGGCAACACCTGTTTGCAGGCAAAGGCTGATCAATCAGACCCTGGTAACCGCAAATTGCATTCCAATGCAAGATTCAGGTCGACTGGTTCTATATCTACATATATATTATATACTTAAAAAGCACTTTTTTATATACACTGTATTTTCTCACCTGATCTTTCCCCTCTAAACCTCTTCTAACCTGTTCTTCAATGAATTTAGCCGTTTTTTCTTCATCATCAAGGTCTTGCTTCTTCTTCTTCTCTTGTTCTAGCTGTCTACGGATAGTCTCTGGGTCCCTGTCAATGTACTGAATGTACCAGCCTTTGGGAGTCTCATCCACTTTGCAAAGACCTTAAAAGTGCATGTATTAAAAGTTCCCATCAAAGCCAAACCAGAAAAAAAAACCAATGTTTATTTAAAACATGATATTCATAGAAGAAGTAATATGCAAAGACATTTTTCACTGACCATGGTTTCTATATTAATGAACAGACATAACTGTAGTACTTCCCTCCAGTACTATTTTGGGAAAACTGATTTTAAACTCTCATAAAAACAAACTTCAGCTAATCTGATTTATTTGGAAATAGGACAGTGAAGCTAGCATAGCAAGGTAAGTACTTCAGCTTCCTTTATTTAATGCAGAAAGCATTTCCTTTTCAACTAGCAATAAAAGTGAAATAGATACATATAAATGATATATAGCATATCCTTATTTATATGACATAAAAGGTTACTAGATTGAATCATCATTATTAGTGCTACTGTTATTGGAATGAGTTGACAATGACTATGTCACTCACAAGTGAATCCACACAGTGCCTATAAATAAATGCCAATAAAACCCTTTTATGACACTACACTACCAAAATTCTCTGCATCTTACACTCAACAAAGTTAATTACTGTAACTATTAAATGTTCATTCTTTGGACCAGTGAAGGGCTGAAAACTGACTTCCCAATTGTTCTGCCACCACACTTTGCAGAAAGATTCTATATTTGGGAAACATTTCTGTGCTAGTTTCTATTGTTGTTTCCAATGACAATAGCTGATAACTCATCACAGGTTAGTAGTAATTCTAGTGAATATGAATTAGCAGACGGATAAAACAGGATAAGGTTCATTACAGACATGGTTACCGCTGGTTTTGAAATGTATCATGTGCATATTATAATTACCTTCTCTCCCTAACCATTTAGTAAAATCAGTCAGCGTTTCCCACTGTGTGGCATTCATGTGGATATGCTCTCGATGGCTGATATATTCATTGTACACAATATTATTGTGGACTCTCTTTGTTCCTAAATAAAAAAAAAAAACCCATTAAATACAGGTCAGTCACTGAGGAAAAACTGATTTTAATTTGTTATTAAGGGGAAAGAGAGAAAGAAATCCCAGTCCAAATATTTACCAAATCTTCTCCTGAGTAGTTCCAAGAAATCATTTCGAAATTCCCTATGGAATAAAGAAAATAAGCTCTTTAAATATATTTGTAGTTATATAGCATTTCTATTTTTAAGTGACAGTGGAAATTATTCACAATATAAAAAAAGTATTTGATTAAAATGAATGTCATCATATTCAGATAATCATTTCCTGTTCCACTGGCATTCCTATATTTGTAGGTCTTAAAAAGCAAGCGAATGTGCACATGCACACATACACCACATGAACACATATGCACGCACGTGCACACACATGCTCTCACATTTCACCTTTGATAAATTAGCACCCAACCAGATAGAAATGCAGATATTCCCTTACTACTACCTTCAAGGAGTTACTAATGCTACTATAACCTGCAGCATTAATACATTCTGATGTGTGGGTGATACATTCTGATTGGCTTATAAGATAATGAAAAGGGTTGTAGGGTGGTAACAACATCTCACTAGAGATATGAATTTGAACCTCTCTGGATTCATGCTAGACACTGCGCCAAGTCAGCTTTGCTGCCAGTGGGTACCTGGTCATTCAAATCAAGGAGTTAAGTGGCTGGACATGATGCTAGCCCCATCGCTCCCTTGTGTGTGGACAGCTACAGAAATTGGTGTGCCTTAGCCAGGCTAGACTGATGGGCCACTCTATGCTCTGGATGGACCTTTGAATAAAGTAATGCCACTTGATGTAAGATGCTTAAACAGAGAATGAAATTTTCAAAAGCCCCACTAAGTTCTGATGAAACTTATCACTTAATTTTCCAAACACCTGTTTAAAAAGTTAGCCACTGAGTGCAGTACAACAAAATATCACCATTCATTAACATTCGGTATCTTCTAAGGAAATCCACTGCAATATAAGAAGACTGCACAGTAGGGGTGCACTGATAAAGATTTTCTTGGCCGATACCAATAGCCAATTATTCACCAGGTATAATCGGCCGACACTGATCCTATAACCGATTTACAGGAATGCAGTTACGCAATGTAGACATCAGCTCCCTGCAGGTAAGTCTGTAGAGGGGAAGGGGCATGGGTGGTGCAGAATGAGACCCCCCTCCATGAGGAAGGCAGTGGGGGCAGAGGGCAGGGGCAGGGTGGTGAATGGGACCCTGGGACTGGGATGGGATGGAGCCGCAGACGGCTCGTGAAAGAGATCAGTGTCCTGGCACTTAAAAATGGTGGTGGGGTCGCTTGAACTAAAGCTCATTGAATGAGTTTTGGTTCAACCGCTGCCACCACCATTTTTAAGCGACAGGACACTTTTAACCAGACCGGAGCCGAGTGGGGCAAGGGCGGGACTCTCCACCCTGCTGCCTTTGCCCCAGGAGCTGCGTAACAGCCATGCCGCAACCCCTGCCCATCTGGCAGCAGCGAGTTGTGCCTCCCGGTGCCAGGTGGGCAGGGGGCATGCAGCTAGCGCATGACTCCCAGGGCAAAGGCAGCAGGGCTGAGAGCCCCAAGCCCGCAGTGAACAGCCTGCATCCACACTCACCCCGCTCAGCTCTGGTCCTAAAAGCATACCAGAGCTTAAAAATGGTGGCAGTGGCGCTTGAACTAAAACTCATTCAACAAACTTTACCTTAAGAACCCCCACCACCATTTTTAAGCACTGGGACACTGATCCCCTGGACAAGCCACCCACGGCTCTGTCCCACTCCCTGCCCTGGGGTTCCATTTCACCACCCTGCCCCAGCCCCAGCCCCAGCCCCGCTCGTTACCTCACCATGATGACCTTGATCTGCCTCCCTACGCCCCTTTTCTCACTCATGCCCCTCCCCCCCACAGACTTACCTGCAGGGTGCTGCTCTCCATGCTGCCCAGCTGCATTCTTAGGCGCATGCATGCGTGCAGTTGCATGTATGCATGTGGTGTCTGGGGGCCCCAGTCAGAAGGTATATTATATTTATTGGTACATTATTAGCTACACCAGTCAAAAAAAAGCTGAAAGCTGATAATGTTAAATTTCCTTTTATTGATGCTGATCTGATATGGCACCAATATACTGGTGCACACCTGCTGCACAGGGATTCAACTGCAGGATCACAGCTTAAGGGGGGATATGGGGAAAACTTACTCTGAAAAATAGTCCATAAACTGCTGAGGGTTTTCAGAAGCCAGCAGTAGCTGCCTCTGGTGGGATTCAGACATACAGTGACATTTGAAGCCATTCTGCAAAAAAACCCAAACAAACAAAACAGAAAGAAAGAAAATGAGTATGTTGTGTCCCGTGACTCAAAAGAATTATGGAGTTGACATTTTAACGAGCAACAAACTACAAGGAAAGGTTTTTAAGTAAAACTGACCCCCGGTGCAAGTAACACTAATGTTTCACAGTACATAGGGCTAATGATCAAGTAGATTCCCTTTGCTTTGCCACTATCCCAGACACTCTCTCTGTGTTCCCCGCCCACACATGCCAGCTCCGTCTCCTCCCTTATAGCCTTTCATGCCCAGAATTCCACTCCAGCATAGCCAGCATCTATTTGGCACTTCATCTGGACATGTTTATTGGCACTATATCCTGATGTTCGTATGAGGGTTTGACCTTACAGTTCTCAGACTTCCCAGCTACACACACTGAACAGCTTCGTATCAGCTTCATATCAATCCCATGGGTTCCGATTGTGCGGTTTTGGGGTTTTTTTAGAGTATGATGATACAATGATCACAAAACAAGGAAAAACATATTCACAATTTTATCTACAAATTTTGCAGCCAGCCAATTGCCTCGGGGGTAGCATTGTGCAAATCCAATAAAGTCCCATTAAATGCAAGGAGAGGGCATTCAAAGGTGATGTGGTTCAAAGCTTGAAAAGGGGCACCATGGTCTCAGTTCAGTGAGCTAATCCAGCCCCATCTACGTAACAGAAATCCACATCTACCATGTCCTGCCCTGATTCGGTTTAGAGAAGACAAAAGATGTCTGGGGAGATCGAAGCCAGCTTGTCTAATGGTGGAATTCGTAATAGTTTCTGTATTAAGGGGTGAGCCACTCTTATATCCAGGCATCTTGGACGTTGTGTCTTCCTCAAGCTGAACTGCTGTTCTCCACGCGGGATGTCTAGATTCCTATATGCTGATATCATAGTCCTGGTTACACAACAATCTTGTTTCTCCAGAGCAGAAAATAGTACTCACATCTGATCTGAATACTTTAGATACCTACTTTAAACAACAGCATCTGCACCCAAGCCCTGAAAACAACAGTGTCTACATTTGACTTGAACAATAAATGGGCTAATTATCAACCCATTATTGTTTTCAGAGATCAGCTCCTACATTATAACAGTACTCCTAAATATTTAGGAATCATCCTAGATAGAACGCTGTCCTATAAAAAAAAAAAAAAATCACTTAACTATGACAGCAAGTAAGTTAAGAACCCGCAAAAATTTGCTCCAGCAACTAACTAGGACTTCTTCGGGAGCTGATGCTGATGCGCTTTAGATCAACAGCTTTAGAGCTGATCTACTTTTCGGCAGAATACCATGCCTGAATCTGGTTAAACACTCCCCATACTGATAAGGTTGACATATAACTCAACCAAGCAACGTGTATCATTACAGGAACAATCTGATCCACCTCTCTTCACGGGCTCCCTATTCTTAACAACACACATCCACCCCCACTAAGAAGAAAAAAAAGTCTTAACTAAATAAAGGATTAAAATAACAAAAATAACCTGCAGCTTCCTATACACAAAGATCTCTTAAACCAGCTTCTCTCAACCTGTGAGGTTTTGACCCAAAAGTGGGTCACAAGAATATATGAAAGGGTCACAAACAAACTTTAAAAACAGATCAACACATTTGAAAAATGGATTCTCCTTTAAAGGAGAAAAACGTGGGCAACCATGGATTTTCCCTTGCAGGCTGGCAGAGCTCTAGCCTGCAAGGGGCTGCTTGGGCCCCCCCCAGCCCACACACAGAGGGTTTGAGGGCAGGAGACAGAGGGTCGGGAGTGAGGGACCCTGGGTCAAGACTGGCTATCAATGTTTACAAATGGGTCCTGGTACAAAAAAAAGTTGAGAACCACTGTCTTAAACCCACCTCATCTGAGACAAAAGTCTAGACATCCCACTTGGAGAACAACAATTCAACTTGGGCAAGATCGTACAGTCATAATAGTACACTGGTTATTTTACTCACCCGAGTAGTTTTATTAATTAGCCACATGACTGGGACCCTAAGGGTTTGAGAACAAGGTGCTGAACAACTCACCCAGCCTAAAAGCACCTTAGGGGAGGCAGACAGAGGATGCTAAGGGGTGGAAAGGACTTCAGGAGGTCACATCTAGTCCATCCCCCCCCTCCCGCTCAAACCAGGACCATCCCCAACCAGATCATCCCAGCCAAAGGATGTTAAACCTCCAAGAATAGAGAGTCCATCACCTCTCTGGGTAACCTGTTCCAGTGCTTTACTACCTTCCTAGTGAGAAAGTTTTTCCTAATATCCAACTTAAAACCTCCTTTGCTGCAACTTGAGCCCATTGCTCCTTGTCCTGTTACCTCCCCACACTGAGGACAGTCCAGCTCCATCCTCTTTGTAATCCCCCCTTGCAGGGAGCTAAAGGCTCCTATTAAATCCCCTCTCAGCCTTCTCTTCTCCAGCCTAAATCAACCCTGTTTTCTGTTCCAGTGGGAAAGCATCCAAATCATCCCACGTTGAGAGTGGGAAGCACACGATACAAAAAAGAAAGAGACTGGAGAACAAATCAAGGCAGAAACAAATGTGAATGAAATGCCGCTGTGCCTTCCCAGCAGTGCAGGTGGGTTCCCCCCCCCCCACTAAGACGAAGGATCGCACAGCAACAGCATTGTCAGGTGTATGATATGCATTGTATTTGTACGATTGTTTCAACCCCTATACGATGCACGATCAATAATAGTAAAAAAAGAAAAGCGTTCAAAACGTACGATCAATTCTGAGGCAGCTCATTGCTGCAGCCTATGCAAGACCCAAGTCACTCTCAGAGAGTCTTAACCGACTTTAGAGGACCCAAATACAACCTGCGAGAGGCCCCCTTCAGCCCTTTCCTGCCACGGTTGCCTCAAAATAAAGCAACGCTTCAGCTTTCTCCCTGCACTGGCGATTTACAGTGGAAGTGAACGAAAACAGGGATTATTCGCATGCTCATTTGCATATTTTTAGGAAACAAGACCAGGCCCGGCCGCGCTCACCTCGTCGCGGCACTGCTTCTGGCACATCTGGCAGTACCAGCGCAGCTTCTGCAGCCCCTTGGACTTGATGCGGTTGGCGATGGCCTTAGGGCTGAGGAAATCCGACTTGCCCATGGTACCGCCGGCTACCCCGCGCCCTCACGGCCCCACCGGAAGCGGAAGGCGGCAGCGCCGGAGGCACCTCACGCCCCCGGAAGCACTTCCTCGCACCCGCAACGCATGCGCGGGGCGGGGACTCTGACCTTCAGCCGGGCGGCCGCTGCAGCACCCCGCAGCAGCGTCGCCATGTTCGCCCGGGGGGCCGCGGTGCTGCTGTGCCGGCCGCAATGGTGCGGGGGAGCGGGGCACTTACCAGGGTGGTGGGGGGAGGTACCGTCTGACGAGGCGAGATGTGGTGGGGAGG